AAATTAAACTTTACTTACAACGAATTCATTGACTTCATTAATTTTATTATTCCCAACGTGTTTTTTTTCCTTCCAACGTTCATTTACAATTTCTTATAAAAAGTAAATAAAACGCGGATACTAATGGTAATTTAAAACGATGTTGCATAAAGAAAGTTTGTCTAATTAATTAAACAACATTTAACGAACCCTCGCTTAAATTAAAATGAAATTAGATTACTATTCTCATCTCTCTTACATTTAATATCATTAAAATGCGACTTTTGTATTTATGTATTCTCCATTCATTACACTTCTACTTATCATTTAACGAGATATTTATACGAATTTCTATTAATTCCAATTTCTCGCGTGGAGTCGGGGGTACATAATTCAAACGTACAGTCGCATAATTTCAACAGAGGTCGATGTACAAAATACATATCTACTAGTATCAAATATTCTTTTACAATGGCTTTTACAATGGCTAACATAATATATTTGTTAACTTACGTGTCTCGTTAATGTTTGAATATTAATTTGATTTAAATGAATGTCCAATTAAGTAATATTTAATTAATTTAAATATTAATCTGACAACATTTATTAAACAATAGGTGTATACATATATAGCTTAAGTAATTATTTAAATGTTTAAATATTAATTTAATTAATATTCGATTGAATAATATTGAATTGATTCAATTAAATATTAATAAATGTCAATTTGATAATAAATTGCGTCTACAAAAAGAAGGTAATTTTGTAATTTTCATATATATATATTTTTAAAACTATCTATGCTATAGTGAATGAAATACTTTCATAATGAACGATATATAAGTTCTTGAATACTATATTAAGAAATAAATAAATATGTTGAATTTGCTCACGCTGTACATATGCTGTTTTGTACATGAAATTTTCAATCAATTTTAATTTACGAGATATAAAAGCAGGATAAATCGATCGATATATTTCTATTTAATACGCAAAACTATTTACCGTACATCTAAATGAATGAAATTATTGTAGATGTATGCATCTCATGCAACGATAAAAGTCAACGGCACGTTAATCATGCGTTGTTAGACGAGGTGTAAGTCTATCATGCTTTCCGTTACTTAAGTTATTACGTAATGCATCACGTACTCCGAGTTATTTTACGCGGGCGTTGCAATAAAAGCGTGGGTGACTCATGCGTGAAAAGAAAAGTACGAAAGAAAGAAGAAATGGAGAAAACACTTTCGTTCCTTCTCATTTTCGACTGTTCTCCATTAATTGATAATTCCAAATTCCAAATGGAAAGTATTAAATTGTTAAATTGAAGTTATCGAGAAGCACTTGAACAATGTATTTACAAAAACATTGGTAGTTTTCGCGTACGAGAGTCCAATATCGTTTCGAATATTTTTAAACATTTTTGAATATTTTGAACACTTGATCGAAATCTTGTACATGTTCAATATGACTGAACTAAACATTCAAAAATATTAATAAACGTAGCTGATATTTTTTACTTTATCTCTTTTCTGCTTGTCGCGTGTGTTACACGAACAAAAGAAACAAATAATTTAAATTAAAAACAGGGTGTTGAATTAAAAGTCTTCACAGCTGGCAATATATTTTTACGTGTAAATCATGTTAATTAATAAAAATATTTATACTACGTTTCTTTATGTTATCTTAATTTTAATTTAAATTAATTTAAATTTATATTAATTAATATTAATTTAAAAAAATTGGTTGGTATTGATATTACATCAAATACAGATATTCTCCTTCATCCCCGAAAAACTAACACTCTGTAAAGAAAACGCTCAAATCTTCGAGAGGGCTTGCGGCGCAAAGTATGGTATAAAAATGAAAAGGGAAAACAGAGAGAGAGAGAGAGAGAGAGATCGGTATGATAAAAAAAACTTACATAAAGTTGTCGGTGTGCCGGCGTGAATTGATATCGTGTAACTCCTGGAGATATTTGCGACGACGTTCTTCTTCGTAAACCCGTCGCATATTCTCCGCGCTTCGACGAGCGAGCTCTTCCTCGCTCAATGGTTCTTTCGCCTCTGTACGCACTGGTGAACGATAGTGAATCGTCACCTCACCCTCCACATAACGCCTCGGTGATTCTACCAACAGAGAATGTTCGTTATTATACTTACGTCGTTTCTCGATATCGTTCATTTATTTCCCGTTTAACGACTCTCGCGTACTCTGTTCTTCCGCTCGGCGTTGTTCTTCGTCGTAACAATTTGCTTATGCTTCGCAATTATGTACAATATTTTACAATGTAAGGCAAAAAGAGAAGATTATAGTTACTCACGTTGACACAGTTCGGGCATGGTAGATAAATATTTAAATGGTTACAATTATTTATTAAAATAATAAACCCCGGCATTGTATCAAAGTGACTCATAAAATGACGAGTTTGTAATTTTCACATCAACATTTTTAAATGACTTTTCGTGAAATGTACGAAAAAATGAAGGTTTCTGTACTTTGTTGCATTGCAAAGCTTTTCTATCTTTCCTTTCAATGTCTCTGATGGAAATTTTAGTTTTCGACTTAACGAGCGAGCTAATACTGTAGAGAAATGACAAACTTCTGTTTATTCGCAGTATAAACGCTTACTGATCCAAGTCGCATAAATGCAAAATAAGTGTCTTTTTTAGTCCAGGCAATGTTTCTTTCTTCAACTCTCCTATCGTATATTACAAAAAACCAAAGATTTTACGTGTTCACTTGTCTCTCTCAAACTGTCTTGTTATCTCGTCTAGTATTGCAAATCGTCACAATATGTAAAAACATTGAAAAAATCTCGTTCACGACTGAATCTGCGATAGATTTGAAGATTGAAGCCTCCCCTTTGTAATGGCCCCTCAGAACTTGATGCATGATTTCACTTTTGAAATTGAGCGGAATGACTTCTTTAAAAAGAGCGAGTAATTCTTTGAAAATCAGTTTTTACAGATTTACAGATGCTGCGACGTTTTTAGAAATTTGAATGATTTTTGTAAAAATGTACGAACAAACATTTTCCCCCCGCGCTCTAATTTCTCTGACACGAGTTCTAAAGCTCGGTTTTAAAGCATTCAGTTCATTGAAGAGCATAATAATTTTATTTCAAAGTTACTGTTACTAATTCAATTAAATAATTATACTCGTGATTACTATTTCGAATATCTTTCTAAAATATTGTTGAATTTACCATTTCCTCTTTCTTATATCTTAATTACATGCTCGATGAATACGAGCATTTTCGATACCAATGCAACAATGATTCGCAACCATATCCTTGGAAATCCGAACAACAGATGACAATCATCGTGGTCAATGGCACGGGCGTGTTAACGACTGCGACGGGATTATGTGTTTCCCCACGTTCGAAAAGTTTTCGTTACCACGGCGAAATGGAGCATTAAAGCCAACGATATCATTCTTCCTTGATTAATATCAAACTGAAACGTACGCTGCCGCTAATGAAATGTCCGACGCGTGTACGGGTAT